GCAACACCAGTGGAATCGCAGATGCGTTGCCGGCCTTTTAAAAAGGAGTAGCCTCTTTTCTTGAAGTTCCCTAAGTCGTATCAGTCCGGAAAAAGCGCTGGTGATAATCGATTCCACAAGGAAGTTGTGCGAGGGAAAAAACTTCTTCTAAATCGCACAGTGGTGGACCGCCAATCATCCAGATGATATGGATGGTATCGCGAGTTTTGTCGCGATGTGCGATGGTGAAATTGAGCGGCTGGAATTAGTCCGAATAATTCCTCAGAGCACTCCCCGTGGTAGATGCGATAAAATACGCAAAGAGATGCAACAGCACTGCGTAGAGCAGTGCCAGTGAGTCAAACCGATCGGAAAGAACTCGGTCGTCGACGATTCGAACCGCTCTACGCTGGATGCGGTCAAGTGGAAGGATCTGGCACTGGGGAACCCCTGCCCAGAGATGAGAACAACCCTCCACCTCCCATGGCCCCACCGACCCTCAGGTCATACGGGCCGAATCTCGGGAGATGCGCGCGGTACTTGCACGTGGCTTTTTTCCCGCGCGCACTTTCTTGACTCCCTACAAATATTTCATCAATTCCTTGTCCCAATTTTACGTCACTCTCCCCCTTCTGGGGCTGACGGCACTATAACGCCTACGACATCGGGCCCTCCTACCAGCATTCTCTCCTGCCCCATTCCACGATCGCGACTCCCATGCGCAAAACTCGCGCAGCAGCCCGTAGTTCACCCCAGTGGCATTGAGTCCGATGATATTGCTAAGGTGACTCAGCACAGCTGCTCCAATTGTTGGGTCGGCAAGATAAGCGCCAGCCCACGGATGACCGCTCACCTGCACGGTCCCCGCAACCTAGGAGTACTGTTCTTGTACAAGAACAATGTCCAGGTGCAATACACGCGCCCGATGGGCAACTCAGCCGTGGCAAGCTCCCCCTGACCCAGGTTAGTCCTAGTCGTAATGCCTTGTCTTCATGGTTGTCTACGGGGCCACCCTTACTGGTAGTATTGAGTGCTGGCCACAGAGCGTTGCTCTGCATACAGCCTTGCTGGGCAGTTCCTTGCCATTGTCACGTGCGAGCCAGAGTCAGATCTACCAAATCGCTTACACGTAGCGCACTTCTTCTCCGTGGACTTGCAAGCGCCGCGCTCATGCCCTTCCTCTCCACATTTTCCACATACGACCTCCTTCGATCGGCAATACTTCGCAGGATGCCCATACTGTTGACACCTCTGGCAGCACGTGACATCCACGTAATCACACGGCTCCACCACGTCCCAGCCGACGTATAGCCGGTTGTACCTGATCAGGATATCTCTCAAGGCAGTCGAACATTGAAGGATCACTGTTGTCCGCCTGCTTCCTCTCCAGGACTTCTTGAAAACGATCCTGCAGTTTCTTTCAAGTTTGTTTCGGTCCATCCATAAGCAGCAAGGTTCTGCTCGTAGAGGGCGCTAATGATATCCTCGTTCCTGGGATCCTCCTCAAAACTCCTGAGAGCCACCAGGGGTAAACGTTGCCTGGGCTCAGTCACCCTCAATGATGGAGGGGCAGCAGTCTTCAGCTTCTCCGCTGCTTCCTGGGACGTGGTTTGAACTACGACACCCGCATTTGCAACTTTCCTCAATCTGTCGATCTGAAGCCCACTGTTCTTGGGGTTGACTGCCTTCTTGAGCTCCATTTTTGTGTCCTCTGCAGTCTTCAGTGGACCTTCTGTCTCAGCCGGGTAGAAGGCGACAACTGGGCCTTTGCTCACTGGCATCATCATTTGGTCGGCCCCCTTCGGCAGCCTCAGCGCCGCCGAATACGACCGTTGCGGTGCCGGGTCCGTCGCGTGGCAAGGAACTGCACTGGCCTCAGCCTCAACCTACGCTAGTCTTCCTTCCGCAGCAATCTTCCCCTGTTCTGCTCTGAGCGCTGCCAACTCCAGTTCTGATATATGTACCTCCATTGTCGCTACCATGGCAATGAGATCATGGCCATATGTAGCCACCCTGTTGACCTCCGCTTTATTGAGCTTCGACCCTGGTCCGGTGATGATACGACGCTTTGAAGATCGCTCTGATACCCCGGGAGCTCTCCCTTGGGCGGTCCTCCTCTTCGGCCTCTGCGGCAGACCTGCCACCGGGGCCACAGTCCGTCGAGGCTCAGTGCGCTTGCCCACCCTTGCTCGCTGGGAAGATGGCTGCACCTCTTCCAGTGACGGCAGAGGCCGCTTCCCAGAGATGAGAACAGTATTCCGTGTGAGTCCGAACCTGCGCTTTGTAAAGTTGCAAGCGGTGTACCCGCCAATTCGGCCTTCTCTTCCAAGTGACCACGAAACTGCACGTCACTCGATATGTCGACACTGAGGATACCGATACTGGCTGAGGCAACAAGGGAAGTGCCTTGAAACTGAGGATATACGACAAAGGGATTCCTTTTAGCGGTAAACGCGCAAACTTGTGTCTTCTGGGGATTAAACTGGACTAGACTTAGTCGCCACCAGTCTGAGACTTTGTTCAACAAAATCTCGACTTCAGACACAAGTTTGTTCCGGTACTCGGCGACGTTTTCCCGAGAAATATTGGCACGGCCGGTGTATAAAGCATCACCAGTGCTGTCGTCTGCATAGCAATGAATGTTACTGGTTTGCAACATATCATTGATATGCAGAAGAAACAGCGCTGGTGAGAGCACGCAGCCTTGTGGAACACCAGCGTTAATGGGCTTGTAATCGGAGCATGCACCATCTACTACGACCTTGATGCTCCGATCTGCAAGAAAACTGGTGATCCAATTGCACAATTTCTCGGCAAGCCCATACGAAGGCAGCTTCGAAAGAAGCGCTTTGTGCCAAACCCGATCGAAAGCCTTCGCTATGTCCAAACTAACGGCCAACGCCTCCCCCTTGGACTCCACTGCCTCCGCCCATCTATGAGTTAGGTAACCTAGAAGATCACCAGCTGAGCGACCTCGAAACCGTACTGGCGGTCACTAATCAGCTGGTGATCCTCAAGGTACCGCATGAACTGGCTGTTAATAATGGCCCATTACTTTGGAGAACAAGGAGGTGATAGCGATAGGCCTGTAGTTGGACGGATCTGAGCGGTCGCCTTTTTTAGGGATCGGGTGCACCAAAGCTGTCTTCCATGAGTTCGGGACTACGCCAAGGGAGTAGGAGTACCGAAAAAGACGCGTTAAACCGGTGCCAACTCCGGAGCACACGTCTTCAGCAGAATAGGCGGGATTCCATCAGGCCCACTCGACTTGTTGACGTCCAGGGAGAAGAGTGCTTTACGCACCAAGCGCTGTGTAAATAGCACTTTCCGCATGGAGCACTCACACCGCGGGATGGTCGGCGGTGTGTTCCCCCCGTCATCTAGAGTCGAGTTGGAAGCAAAAAGAGAGCCTAGCAGATCGGCTTTCTCCTTTGCATCATGGGCCAGTGAGTCGTCCACCCTGTGCAGAGATGGCAGAGATGGCTGACAGAAGTTCCCTTGGGCAGCCTTGGCGAGAGACCAGAATGCACGTGTTCCCGAAGGGAGGCGAACTAGTTTTTCGCCAATTCTGCCGATGTGCTCTGACTTTGCCTTGGCAATGACACTTTTGAAGGATCTGGAGGCGGAATTATACTTCTTTTTAAGTGCGCTGGTGTTTACATCTCGAGACGTTGATGCGTCAGCCCAGGCCTGGTAGCACTTCTGCTTATAGCGTGATGCTATTTTACAGGAGCGACCAAACCATGTCTGGGATCTGCCTCCGATGGGCACCACAGAGGATGGAATAAAAAGTTCCACACCCTGAAGTACTACATAAGTAACAGAATCGGCAACAACGCTGAGATCTTCCGGCAAGAAGCAAACCCGCCCCCAAGGGTAGGATGCAAAAAAAGACCGCAACCCGTCCCAATCGGCCGAACTATAGTGCCAAACACGGCGGCAAGCTGCAGATCGCAACTGCGATGGGAGCGTGAGTGGCACCGTACTCGGGACCGGACAATGGTCCGAAGAGCCCAGAGGGGCATCGACGGAGACCTGATATCCGTCCGGATGACAGGTCAGCAGAAGGTCCAACAGGGAATGTACATGATCTTCCACATCTGGGATCCGCGTAGCCGAAGTAACCAGTTGTGTTAGACCATATGCCAAGGCAAAGTCATATACAGATCTATCCGCATGATCGGTTAAACGGGAACTAAGCCATTCAGCGTGGTGGGCGTTAAAATCACCTAGTACCACGATCTCTGCGGATGGGACCTGTTGTAGCAGGGAGTCTGTAGCCGTGTAATGAGGTGATCGCTTCTAAGCTGATTCAAAAATAAAATTGGTAAATAGTTTGTAATCATTTATATTGTAAAATATATTTAAAAAAAAGTCCCGCTGGGTTTCTTGCTGGTTCTTCCCAGGACAGAGGATTTTTTCGAACCAGTGGTAAAGTAAAAAATGACTCAATAAGAATAACTGTTTTTTTTTTCATTAAAAAACGTATAATCAATATTGAATAAAAAATTATTCTATTCTATTCTATTCTGTCGGGTAAGTTTGGCAGAGGCTGCTGCTCTTACTGACAGATATTTTTTTATTTTTTACTTTGATTCCTATTTGAAGTAGATGTAAGAAAAACTAGAGAACTAAGAAATTAAATAAGTTGGTGTCAATGTACATTATCGAGCAAAAAAAAAAACGTTCTCAAATCAAACGCTGTAAGCGTCTAAAATCTTGATGTATATTTTTCAACTGATGGCTGTTATCGCAACTGTGAAGCATATTAATTAGTTCTCATTAATTCGTTTTTAAGTAGCTACTTATGAATGTGCGGAACAGAACGTATTTTCTACAGTTGCTTATGCAGTGAGATTACAACTCTCAAACCGTGGTGTCGTGATCCATTAAGGGTTCAAGTGTAGTTAGTATAATTTTGTTGTTAATTTCTTTACGTGCTAGAGTTTCATTATGTGCTAGAGTCTTTTTATTTAGGCTTAATTTTAAAAATAGCTTTAAAAGTTGATAGCGAATCAGGCATGATTTTAGACTTCATAAAGTCACTTATTATGATTTATTTTTCTTTGAGTTCATGCGTTTGGTCACAGACCTTTAAATTAAATAGAAAATATGTAAAAACGTCAAAATACCATTCAGAATCTTCTCTGTCGGCCTTGAACTTTACAATAAGATGCAATTTTTTAGATTTTGGTTGTTTTTTTACTCCTTTCCCACGTCGTTCAAATTCAAAATCTACCAAGGGATACTTTCATAAAAAAATTAAACGCCAGCTAAATCTAATGAGCCATTACTACGTCACTCCTGCGTTGGATATGAACAAATGGCCACAATCCGTTGTACATGGAAAACTAATCGGTGAAAAATTAAAAGTTATACCAAATTCTTATAAAAATAATCAAAACTTATCGATTTCAATAAATTCGATTATTGCTAATAACGCTCATGGTCCGTTGATAAGTATAAGCCCCGTTAACAAAAAATTACTTCAATCCATTAATAATCCCTCTATTTACAAAGTTACTGTAAAACCTATGACTGAATTTTACGTTCCAACAAAAAGTACTAATATCCACCAATTTACAAGAAGGACAAATTCCCCAATAACAATTCCTGAACCTTACTTCTATATCAATGAAACCAAAACTATTCCGAAATCAGTAGATACATCCCAAATACAAAACTTGCAATGGAACTCAAATAATATGGACAGTAATTACGACGTAATGCCTAAATTTATGCAAGCACTTGATCAATTGGAACGGAAATTTTATAAGGTAAGATACATTAATATTGTTTTAAATAAAAACATAATAATAATAATTTTAAATCTATCGCTCAACATATTTTTCACAATATGTTCTATGTAATTTTTTATTATCATTTCAATTTGTTTTACTTAATATGTTTACTGATTGATATAGTTTTCCTTAAAAACAAACAATCCGGCCCCAACTAGCTGACTCTTTATTAAACTCATCAACACGGTACAGGGATATTTTTAATGACTTTGACCAACTAAAAGTGCTAGCCAAGAAAATGTTTTTTAATATCAATTTTTTTGTCATTTATTCCAGATTGATTTCAAATTTAAATAAAAGACAAAATAAAATATGTTGGCGGTAAAAATTGAGTTAAACTAGAGGGAGCGAATTTTGTACTTAGAGTAATTGTTACTTTCTTTTGTTGAAAACCGCTACTTAAACTATTTTTTGATCCCACTTCGGTTGATTGTGATAATTTGACATTTTATTGCAATATAACGTATTAGTACACCCAGACAAGACCGTTTTTTGCAAATTGCTGAGAGAAGGCAACTAAATGTCACGGCGATGCAATTGGTACAACGGCTACAGCCTGAACACCAGGTGCTTGTGAGTGACTAAACTGTTAGAAGGAGACTGCACGACCCTTTTTGATGTGGTAGAGCCATGCTGCAGCTATATTAGTAGTATAGTTGTAGCACGAATGGGTCGGCTCAGCCGGAGAGAGACCACGCTCTCACAGAATACCAGCGTCAAATAGCAGCTTAACACTGCTGTGTTTCGTATGGTGAGTGTAGAGAACCGGATACCCTTTTTACTGGAAACGAGACATTCCATCTTAGTCCTCACGGGTGACAACGCATCCGCATTTTGATTCGCAAACGAAGATAAATGTAGATGTCTATGGTCCACAGCAACCACTTACCATCAGGTGGACTGTGTGCTCGTTTGTCACCCTATCCTATAAAAAAAAACGAAGCCAGCCTTCATGCTCGTGAAGACGACTTCGACCTGCAATGGGCTAGAGAACATTTGAACTGGGAACCTAATCAATAGTCGTTGGTGATTTTCACCAATGAATCCTAATTTGGTGTTCATCCTGATTCGAGGAGAGTACGTGTTTGGAAAGTTCTCGGCCGTACAAGCCGGCTTCAACACCCTCAAGTAGTTAATTCATACCAAGGTGGTACAATTATGGTGTGGGCAGAAATTCGTTTTCGTGGAAGAACGGACCTTGTTTGGATACAGGGCATTATGACGGCAAAAAAATACCGTAGTGAGGTGCTAGAACCGATAGTCTTGCTACATCGATTACGAATAGGTCAAAAATTCAGTAACAATCTCCCCCGAACCTTCCCTCACTTTGGATGTGAGTTGGTGGACTACAGCGAGAGGGGTGTTCTCCCCTTCTACCGCCGCAGCCGAGGTGGGGCTGCGGAGGGAGAGGTGTGACGGTTTTGCGAGGCGCCACTCTCCCTATCTTCCGCAGCCGAAACTTGGTTGGCGGCGGAGCACAGACCAGATCCGCCTCTGGGGTCAGGAAAGCAGAGCTGGGGGTCCATTGTGCAGGTGGAGTAAAGTTGGAGGAAGCCGCGCCTTGTTTTCCTGGTGCGCATTAGCGGCGAAGGTGGAACACCAGGGGGTTTTAGTTGGTGCGAGTCCGAAATAACCCATCCTCGCTCCCGCGAGGCGGATATGCGTAGGCATTTCCCAATGTAAAGAAAAAAGTGGTAACAGCCTGTGCAACCAGGCTGTTACCACTTTTTTCTTTACATTGACTTTACAACATGATATCACGGCCCTAGAATGGCCAGCGAAATCCCTAAATTTAAATCCCATTGAGCATGCTTGGGATATGCTCCAAAGAAGCTCTGAGCGATTTTCCAGAAAATCTGGTTACAGAAGAAAAACTTTTTATGCATCTCAGTTGGACCTGGGACAATATTCCTCAACAGGATATTGACAACCTCATTCTGAGTATGCCCAACCTTTTACTGATTATTAACTCTTAATTAATAGCTGCCCTTAAAAGGTTTTTACTTTACTTTATTTTTTAATTTAAAGATTAAATATTCATGATGTATGTAGGTACAGTTTTCACACTTGCATCCAAGCTAATACTCTAGGCTTGCTTCTTTTTCTCTGCATAAAAATCTGAAAACTTATTTAAAGTTAATGTTTATATAAAACAATGGTGATTATTTAATAAAGTTTTATTGTATGTACATATACATGTCTTTTGAAAATACTGACATACTCTAAAATTCATCTCCTATACCGTGTTGATGTGTTTATTTGTCATAATGCTCTGATTTTTTTTAATAAAACCTGTTATCAAGACTATTTGTGTTATAATTCGTCATACAACGCACTTACATATTGAGAATATTGGCCACACCTATCAAAATATCGTAAAAGCATGGTAGGGATACTGTTTATATTAATATTAACACGATGAATATTTTTACTTCAATAGTAAAGTATATGTGTATATTGGATGGGTAACACTGTTAGCCACGGGTAGATCTAGGACTTAGGAGAGTTACTAGTTTAGAAGTTTGGGAGGGCGGAAGATTTACCGCCTCGGATTACCGTTTAAGATCACGTTGATCGCTTTTAAGGTGGTCCTTATTAGTATTATCTTATCTTAGAAATGAACTAGGGAACAAAATAGGTGGTAGCCTGAGGTCAAAATATATGAATCTGAAGAGTACGATCATATGGTGGAAGGGGAAGTATAGTCCAGCGTAGTGAAAGTATTTTCTCATTCAATATTTGCTGTGAGGTTTTGGTGGTAAGCGCTGACTTAGCGCTTAACTACAATCCCACCAGATGGTAGGTGGTGATCTAGCCTAAGATGGTGAAGCGCACTGACTTAACATTTTTGTAATCGCATGGAAATACAGATGTTGGCAACTTATTCCATTCCTTTGTTGCACGCATAATACGAACAATGTGGCAAACCGTTTGGTTCCAATACGTGGTAAGTCAATAACGAAAGGGTGGAAAGTGGCCGAAGGTCTGGTAGTCCTATGGTGGAATGGAGAGTGAGGAATTAAATTATGCAATTCCTGCGCACTCTCCGAAATGCATCCTGTAGAAAACCGAAAGGCCGACTACTTTGCGCCTGTGTTCGAGGCTGATAAAATTGATTATATCCAAATTTGGATCACCAATAAGCCTCTTAGCACGCCTTTCCGTTGAGTCCAAAGGTGCTAGGTAGCATTTTGCAGCACCAGACCATATATGTCAGCAATACTCCATGCACGACCGGACTTGCGCTTTATATAAAGTAAGCAGCTGTCCCAGCGTGAAGTATCGCCGCACTTTTGCAAGAACTCCTATCTTCCTTGCAGCTGCTTTGGCCTTGGACTCAAGGAACCGCCCGAAGTTCAGACTTGAGAATATCTCAATCCCTAACAACTGAAGGCGGTCGGTGTATTCCAGTGATACAATTCGGAAAGAAAAGATGGAACCAAGATGAGCTGTCTCCTTTTTGCAGTGAAGAGATACGCTTGTATTTTGGAGGCGTTGAATTTCACAAGATTGGCATCGCCCCATTCGGAGACTGCCTGTAGTGTGAGATTCACACGCTCTACCATAGCTTCTCTTTCGGACTGAATTTGACTGACTGGCCCGAGGACTTGGTTGGTATCTCTCCACAACTGTGCTATCGTCTGCATAATCATAGATAACGGGAATAAGCAGATCATTAATATGCAGCAGGAAGAGAGTTGCGGAAAGAACGGACCCCTGAGGAACACCGGCGTTAGGCGCTACAGGATAGGATGAGCAGCCATCGACGACAACCCGGAGAGACCGTTCACTCAGAAAGTCCTTTAACCATTCCACCTGAACAGGGTATCCCCCAGCATGAAATAATATTAAACCTCGCACATTACAACCGCACCGTAGGCGCAGAATTTTTTAAATGCGGTAAGTGTCCGAAGGACACATTTAAAAATGACTGAATAAGAATTACTTGTAATCAATATTAAATAAAAAAGTATTCTATTCTATTCTATTCTAAAAAAATGTCATATAAGGCGGCGCGTGCTGATACTCAATGTTGTCTTATGTTGCCAACTTAGTGGATTTTACACGAAAACTGGTAAAAAAATCATCAATCATTTACTTGTGTTACATTTTTAACGGTGGTAGAGCCACGCAGCAGCTTTTGCACGTGCACGTATGGGCCGACTCGAGCCGGGTTGGTACCACGACCTCACAGAATACAGGCGTGAAGTAGATGCTCTGCTTCTGCGTTTCGTCTGGTGAGTGCAGGTGGCCGGATGCCCAATTCCCCCCTCCGCGCATCAACATGGTAGCGGAATTACACGTTAGACTACACCAGGAGGGTACCAGCACCCCTGAAGAATCCCTCGTTGAGCATCCACGACCATGTTATTCCTTTCCTGAGCGTGGGTGCTCAGGCCACCTCGAAACGGCGAAGCCGGCCTTGCTCTTTCTGACCGAGACGCAGGTTTCTTCTCCGGCTGATATTTCGTATCTCTCCTGCGGATTGGACCTGTTTGCTACAACAGGTCCAATCGCCTAACGCGTCTTTTCCGGTACTCCTACTCCCAAGGCGTAGTCCCGAATTCATGGAAGACAGCTTTTGTCCACCCGATCCCTAAAAAAGGCGACCGCTTAGACCCGTCCAACTATAGGCCTATCGCGATCACCTCCTTGTTCTCCAAAATAATGGAATCAATTATTAACTGCTAGCTCATGCGGTACCTTGAGGATCACCAGCTGATTAGTGACCGCCAGTACGGTTTTCGTCGGGGTCGATCAGCTGGTGATCTTCTGGTCTACCTGACCCATAGATGGGCAGAGGCAGAAGAGTCCAAGGGGCAGGCGTTGGCCGTTAGTTTGGACATTGCGAAGGCCTTCGATCGGGTTTGGCACAAAGCGCTTCTTTCTAAGCTCCCTTCCTATGGGCCTCCCAAGAAATTGTGGGATTGGATCACCAGCTTTCTTGCAGATCGGAGCATCAAGGTCGTTCTAGA